GATGAGGGTGAAAGTAGGAGTAGGCGATGATGCCGCCGGAAGCCAGTGTGGCCAACGTCACGCCCTGCGTCATGTAGTGACGGCTGAAAAACGAGAATTAGAAATCAAGTCAGAAGGATAAAATTTGAGGAAAGGCGGAATCAGGTTGTGGTTTGTTGGAAAATTCAGCTAATGTTGGGTTTTATCACATCACGATCATCTGACGCGGCTTCAATACAAAACTAGTAAATCCGGTCTAGCTAAATCGCACGACACCGTCATTTTACGCTCTAGAATCGTCGAAAACCTTAAAAAAGAAAAAATCTGACAAGGGAAGGGCACGCTCACAGGGTGGAGTTTCGAAAAACGCTCGCGGCTACCCCCGGGTAATCGACTACGGAGAACACGATGCCGCTGTCCGATTTTGCTACGGAGGCCTGTGGACAGAGATACAGCACTTCCGGAAAATGATGATTTACATGCGAAAAATTAGCATTCGGGGGAGGCCTTATTATGGTCTCCCATGAGTATGGAACCACCAGTTGAATGGTCGAGTGGTAAGCAACTAGCTTTATAGGATAGTGACCAGGGTACGGATCCTCTCACGATTTTTTTCCTTTTGCTTTTTGACAACTTTTTTTTTGCACAAGTCCAGAACCTTGTCTAAATGTGATAATTCACCTTGTTAGCAAAACTGGTCGGTGAATCGGGCCAACCTCCAAAATTCCTACAAAAATAAGGCGTTCTCAGCATCGGTCTAACCCTAGATACGAACAAGGATTCGGCAATCACGCCACATAACTAACAGCTCGTTTACGCGAAATTTTAGCATAGATAAAGCCAAGGGGGCGTAATGAAAACGGAAAATTGGAGTCTTTTCCCTCCTAAAAGCATCAAATTTGGGCCTAAAAATAGCCCGACAAACTGGAGAGTACGTAACGCCCGCAAAAAATAGACGGTTTTCAAAAAGACCGCAAACTTAAGCTGCTTCGCAATCAGTTCAACTTCAGAACGAGCCTCGATTTAGATATTGACCCGACTGACTAGCGGCGCAAGAAATTGCGTAACATTCCAGAGAAGGTAAAGCCAGACAATCCCAAGCAAACCGCCAAAAACCACACCTGGGTCCCGATTCCATCGAAGACTGGGCGAGGCCGCCGCTGCTCTGCCGCCGGACGAGCTGCTTGCCATTCGAGAAGGCGCCTTTCTAAAAACAAAAATGTAAAAAATCAACCGGAAACGCACCGCGATTTTGGAGAACATTGCGTCAACGAGTGTGGGGGGCTAAAAACGACATTAAAATGAAAAATCCAGGCTAAACCACACCAGAAAATGATCCGAAAATCGGCAGTAAAATCCATCAAAAAAATGAAGATCTCCAAACTATTTATCACCTATTTACACGAGAGATTCATACACACACACGAAAAGAAGGGATGTGAGCACAAAGATAGAAGTTTAATCTAGTCACCGGCTTGTTATAGGCGGCTTTTCTACTTGGGGGATCGGCTCCAGCCCGCATCGGGGTTCATCGTCGTCTGCAGCGTCTTCAGCGTCGGGAAACGGCGGATCAACTGAAAAATTCGATTTAGAGGGCGAAAAACGTCGTAAAAATAACAAAAAGTTATAAAATAAAAACAAGCAAAAGAGCTCTAAAAACGAACCTTTCCAAACCAATTGTCGTCGAGGAAGGTGGCCATCAACCCCAGCGAGATGAAGATCGTCGCCCCGACCACGCCGGAGAAGAGCGGCTCGTGCGAGAAGCTGAAAATTGAGGATTAGAGAAAAATTTGCGTAGAAATGTGAAAATTAATTGAATTTTAGGCATTCTTTCTCCTTTTTCGGCAATTTTTTAAAAGCACAAGAACTAGCGTAAAAAGCTTTTCCAGCGAAAAACGGCGCCAAAACTATCCAGAAAAGCTTACAGATCATCGACATGACGAGCTTGAGCGGGGGCAACCTTGCGCGGGGTTCCGACGAACTGGGCAACACCCCGCTGGGCCACAACTTGTCGCAACGGGATCTGAAATGGAAAATATATATGTTCGAAAATAAGGCAATCAGATCCAGCCAAAAACCTTTCTTTGGGGAGCATATAAGACCAAGAATTCGCGCAGGAAAAAGAAGCCGGAAGTGCTCCCATTAAAACAAAAAGGGAATAGCCTTTTATATTTGACGAACAACTATCAACCAGCCGGCTCAGCCTTCCGAGGCGCAAAATCAAGGCTACTGCCCCGTCCTGACGCCCAAAAACGAAAAACCAACCCTGAATCGAAGCATTTCGCGGGCGCGTTCAGCTGGATGGGCTCGTCAAGGGATTGTCGGGGGGTGGTGGCTCTCGATGCCTGACCGTCTGCGGCTAGAGTCGAGAGATGCCTGAAAAGTGCACCATTCCCCCGCCGCTCAACACAACAACAAAGGCAATGAAAGAGGCAGCGTTGAGAAATGGAAACCGCCCAGGTTCTCGCCATTTTTTGCAGCCTTGCTACCACGTTTTCACAATTAGACGAAAAGTTCAAAACGGCGGCGAATTCAAAATGCCTCCAAGATGCAAAAGCCACTGGGAAATGGAAATCGCGCTAGCCGCGCGCCGGCGGAGAAATTCGCGCTTTTTTCAAACGTAGAGTTCTTCAGTCTCTGCAAAAGCCGAACAAAGTAGCGCAGTCTTTGAGGAAAAGCCTCGCAAGCCCCAAACCGCCCGCCTCCGCTCAAAAGGCCACCGCCAATGTACTCTAAGGTTTCAACAAGAAGCTTCACAAAGTTGCAGCCAAAAATGTTCCAATCTTTCCAGACAAGTTCAGTGCATTTTTCACATTGTATTGCGGTTCACAAAGTTTTAGACATTCAAATATTTATCAACAACAACAAACAGTACATGGAGAAAATGGTTAGACCTTTTGCACCTGCTCCTTGACCTTGGCGCGCTCGAGCTTCGCGGCCTTCGCGTTCGAACGGTCGGACATCACGTGGCCGCCCCAGTGTCGGCGAATCTCGTCTCCGCGCTCGTTGAAGTTCGTGTTGACGGTCTCGGCGATCTTGGCCAGGCTCGACTTGTCCTCCCTGAAAAAAAGGAATAGAATAAGAGTAGCTAAAAGAGAAACTTACGGGCTGACGTCGACGAGGGCCACGCAGCTTGTCGTTTTGCGGCGCACGATGCGTCCGAGGGAGGCCTTGTTCTTGACGATGGCGTACGGGACCTGTAAAAAGAAGATTAGGGCACTCTAAAAACGACAAGGCGCTATGAGGGATGGCTACAAAAATTCGGCACGCTTTGCCTAATGCCAGGATCGGCCAGCGGCAGGCCCAGTGTGGTACGCGTGGCAACAGCTGAAGGCCAGGGTATGCAACACCTCAGCGAAGACACCCAATGCGGCTCCACCACCCAATTACAATCTCAAAACCAAAGAAAACAAAATATACCTTCATTTTTCTGCACAGGGCAGGCAGGAAGAGGGCAATCTCGATGGGCTCGACGTCGTGGGCGATGAGCACGAGGCCGGCCTTGCGTTGCTCGACGAGCTTCGTTACTTCGTTGATGCCGTGGCGGACAGTCTTGCGGCGGCCCGTCACTTCCTCCTTCCTTCCCTCAGCGCGGGCGACAGCTCGCTTGCGTAGTCGGTCCTTCTTGTCGGTGGCGGACTCGGGCCTGTACTTCGCCAGCAGCTTGAAGGCTTGCGTGGCGGTCTGCTTGTCGAGGGCCATCCGGAATTGGTTGATGCCCGGCGGGACCTTCAGGCGCTTTTGAAGGACAGCCTCTGGAAAAAAGAAAAGTAAAAAAGGCAGACCACAGGCAGTGTAGGCGCCGAGAATCAGAGAAAGGCGACAGAGTTTTGTTCGCAACGAGCAGAGACAGGCGACAAAGCGCAATTCATCCTGGCTTCCGACACCAAGGACCAAGGAAAGATAAGGCAACAATGAAAGCAAAAAGTCAAGAAACAAACTCACTTTGCCGTTGGAGGCGGATGTACTTGGGCCATTTGACGAAGCGGGTCAGGTCGCGCTTGGGTTGGATGTGCTGGCCGATGCGGTAGTTGTGCGGGCGCGGCTCGAACAGCGGGTTCTTCGGCGCGACTTCTTCAGCCTTGCCTGAAAAAGGAGGATATCAAAAGCAGATAGAAATAGTGTACCTTTGAACGCCGCCGGAGTTGGGGCCACCTTCTTCTTCTTGATGATCTTCTTCGACGGCTGAAAAAAGTAAATAGAAAAGAAAATGCAAGGAAATCGCGAGCCCAAACTTTTCAAAATTTCAGGGTTAGGCGCAAGCTTTCAGGTTTCGAACGCCTTCGAAACTGAAGGTGCAGCTAGGCGCCAAAACAGTAAAAACCGCAAAAACAGGTCACACTATCAAAAAAAAAGTAAAATAAAAACAAAACACCCACCATTTTCGCGAGCTGACGAAAAAGTGCGGAAAATGATCGAAAATTCGCTCGTCGACCGGGGCCTGGGGTCCCGAAGCGAATTCAGGCGTTACGATGGCTAGTGCGGTTTAGGCTGCGAAGACTTTCGTCGGCCGGCGTTTTCGAAACAAAAAATGTGCAAAATCGGGAAAATTTGTAAAATTTGTAAAGTTTTTCTGGTTATGGAAGTTTTAGAAGTTGTAAAAATGTGCTTGTGAAGATGCGAAGGTGATAATTTGCGTAGCGCGCTAAAACCTTTCTAAAACGCGTTATTTTAGGCAATTTTGGAAAAACGAGGAAAAGTGTGAAACTATAGTTTTTCTAACGGGAACTTGAAAATTTTTATGGTTTGGCAAGTTTGCAGGTCATAAAAATGTAGGTGTTGAGGATGGAAAGTGATGAAACTGGCGATTTTCGTGCTAAAAGCTTACTAAAACTAGCTATTTTTGGACAACTTCAGAAAAACCCATGCAAAAAGGGGAAAGATGGTTTTTCTAGTAAAGTCCTGCCGACAGCACGCTATTATATTTTTTACGCCCTGAAGCCTCCGATAGTTCGAAAAAGGGCGTATCTTCTTTGTTTCTCCGTCTAATTCAACCTTTTTATTTTTTACTTTTTTTCAGGATGGACCCTCGTGATCGCCCGGGGCCATCTCGCACTCCGCGACCGGTTCGCCAGCTTCAACGTGTTTTTGAAGATCCCGGCCGTCCAATGTCACCAGCCGCCGTTCAGCAAGCCAGGGAGACGCTAGCCGCTCGTATGCGCAGATCTCGTGACGAGCCCTACGACCCGAACCGCTACCTGCCCGACGAGTTGAAGCCGCTCAGGGACAGACGGCTTCCGCCCCAGATTCGCCAAGTCGCCCCCGAGTCCTACGACGCTTACATGAAATTCCTGGGCACGGAGAAGCGTGTCGACACCTTCTTGGCCCGGAAGAAGCTTGAAATGGGGCGCAAAAACCTGGTCGTGCCGCGCACCCTCCGCGTTTTCGTCAGTCACCAATTTTTCCCGGGTGACGAGGACGGGAAGTTGCCAATGTGGGAATTGCGAGTGGAGGGCCGACTTTTGGGGCTGGATGGCCAGGTTGAGGATGATGAACAGCGTCGCCAGAAATTCTCTACGTATCTGAAGAGCCTGGTGCTGGAGCTGGATCGGGAGATGTATGGGCCGGACAATTGCTTGGTCGAATGGCATCGATTCCCGAACTGCAATGAGACCGACGGGTTTCAGGTGTGTTTTTAGGCTTATTTTGGTTTTGTCGAAATTCCCGAATTTTTCGAAAATCATTTGAGATTTAATTTCCCGAAATTTCAATGCCTTTTCGCCTCGATTATTCACCTCAGGCGTTTCGCAAATTGAAACATCCGGGCAAATTGAACTTTAGGAAAAAGATTTTATAGCAACACCGCCGAATGGTAAACATGGTAAAAATCTTGATGGTTTCGTTCATTTTGTCTAGTTTCGTCTAATTCTAGCACATCTCAATTTGCTAAGAAAATAGTTTTTTAGAATGATTTTTCAGGTTATTTTGTAGTATCGGCTCGACTAACTTCCCTATAGGTCCAGAAATGCCTAGTAACGTTTACTTAACTGTTTTAAAAGTGTTTTCAGCAAAAATTGTCTATGTTTCAATTGGAAAATCAATAAAAAACCTAAGGAAAAGATCTTAGGTCAAATTTTTCTAAAAAAAATCGGGATTTTTTTGTTGGTTTTAGTCAAGATTTGTAGTTTTTACTTTTAAGCATAGTGAAAACAATTTAGAAACACTTCCGCTCGGTGTATTTGAAAAATGCGGTTCTCAGAAGAAGTCAGTCCCCCCGATGACGCGATAGTACCTCTAAATCTTCTAAACAGTAGTTTTTCTGTCCAATAATTCTTTCTTATATCGACTTTTTGCAGATAAAACGCCCGGGCGACCGTCCTCTGCGCTGCAATATCCTGATACTCCCGCTAAATCCCCAAGCCAAGCTACAACTCAAGCCGATGCTCCAGCGACTTCTCGGCATCCATTGCGATACCCGTGACAATATTCGCGTGGCTCTTTGGGCGTACATAAAAACGCACAAGCTGCAAGACGCCCAGGATCATATCTGGATCAACAACGACCGCTGGTTGCAGCAGATTTTCGGATGTGAGAGGATGAGATTTTGCGATATTCCACATCTGCTACAACCACACCTAAAGGCGCCCGAACCGGCACGCATCAATTATCGCATCGAAAACAAGGGCCCCGGCACGGTGACGAGCTGCTATGATATAAATATCGACGTTGGGAATGTGTTGGCCGAAAACCTCAACCATTTCAATCAGGCCTACACAAATCAAGCGGACATGCTCCTCGTCAACTTCAAAATTGATACGATGCTGAAGGAGATTATCGAGAAGCTGAAGACGTTCAATTTCTACACCGAATTCGCCCAGGATCCACGAAGATTTGTGAACAAATGGGTGCGGACACAGTCGGCAGAGCTGCGGGCTTTTTCTGATCTGCCTGGCGGTAGTGAGGCGGACCGGATGGCCGAGACGTATCAACAGCCCGCATTTGAGGAGGCTGTCGGCCGGTATTTATACATGAAAATCAACGAGAAGCGCGGCGAGGTGGAGCGGGCGCTTGGATTGCAACATTGAACCGGAAATAAGCGAATCAGACCAATTTTATCCCCGAAAATCGATTTTCTTCCCATTTTGTGTGTATTTTTAAATCAAATAAACGTGATTGATTGATTGAATTTTGTGCGTTGTATGTCTTATCACCTTTTCCCAATGATCTCTCGAGTGAATTAAGTTATGGCTGAATTAAATTTGATAAATTTCAGGTAAAATGGGACGATCGTCGAAGGGCCATGGAGAAGAGCTACGTGCTGGTCATCGTCTCGAGGAGCCGTTCTTCGATTGACAAGGTTTCTTTTGAGATTTTGAGTGTTTTTAGGTAGTTCTACTCGGTCGCCTCGCCCGTCACCTACATGCTCAGCTCCAGCGATCGAGAGGGATTTTGAAAATGGTAACCCGAATCGTTCGATTCATTTTTAATTTTTTTAAAATAAAATTTTTGTGAAGTTCTTGTGTTTTTCGCGTGGTTATACTAGTTTTGAATTTCATACTTTCTATTCAACAGTTCGCAAAGAGGTAAAAACGTAACAGCATATAATAAGGAGAGAAATGCACGAAATTGAAAATCCTAGTAGCATCAGTTCATATCAAAATTACCGGGGTGGAAATTGAGCGTAAAACACGTATCACAGAGTGGGGGATCACATTTCTAGCGAGCAAAATAGGATGAAAATAATTAGCTAGCGTAATCGTTTCTAAAACGTCTAGAAATCACGGTAGAAGCGATCGTGGCAGATCAGTTGTCCGGCAGTTCGTGCGGGCGCGTCGAATATTGGCCATAGACGGCATGTATTGTTGCTCTGAAAAGCAGGGGTTTTAAGTTTTGTAGTTTCTGAGGAGAATTAGAAAAGTTTTTGGGAGGATCGGCGCTGGTTCGTTAGCGGGGGGTGGCTTTTTCCTATTTTCTCGTAGGCGTCGCGTAAGGAAATATAAATTATTTGAACAACATTTTAGCCCCGTTTTGGATATGGAAAGCGTATAAAAATTAGTACAGCTATAGAAACTGTTGACATTTTTTATCAAAAATGTAGCAAAATACCCAAAATGTTGAAAATCTAATTTGTTTTTAAATTGCATTTTGTAATTAAGCCTGTTTTATAGGGCATTTTGGACTAAATAAAAGTAGTTCTTCCCCCGCTAACGAACTAGAACCAAAACTGCGTAGAATTTTTGGCTTTTTAAGGGATAAATGGTATCTTTTGTGTTTTTCTCGATGTTTGAAGGGCTAGAGTCTAATTTTGGCACTCCCTACCTGGTCAATAACCATCTTGATCATAGTATTCTGGTTCCTCTTCGATCGAAATTCGAGGAAACTCTCGTGAAGGCCCTGTTGTCTCGCGGCAAAGATAAACGCCTCCCTCCAGATCCTCGTGCAACCGGAAGCCGTAATGTTGAAGTAGGCCGAGCGGCCCTCCATCGTGCTCCATGTCTGAAAATTGGGTTGATATTTTGTAGCTTATTTTGAAGCTCTAGCTCGCCGCTAGGCTTCTCTAGCTCGTGCTCACCTGGATAAAAGAAGCCAGGGCATCCGGCGCAATACTGTCCACTTCAAAGTGAAAAGTGTTTTTCTTGTCTGATGTCGGGAGTTGTTGGGTGAAATTAGCCAAAAGGCGAGCGCTACTGAAAGAGATTATTTAGAAGGGCTTTTTGGGATATTGTATAAGTTGTAAATTATTTTTTTAAGGTTTTTTAGTACTATTTTGCGACGTTTCTGGCGCCTTTTCAATAGCGAACAGGCGGTTCTGGACGTACAATTTTCTAGAAGTTTTTGGCGCTTAACGTTAAAATTATTTTTCTATTCTGATTTTAGTTGTTCTTTACTTTTTTTTAGTTTTTAAAATCTTTAGCCTTTAGGTTTTTAAAATTTATAATTTTTAGCATTAAAACCATAATTTTTCTTTAGTTTTCTAGGCTTTTTTCGATACTTACTCTGCGATGGCATACTGCGCAACCGTATTCAACGATCGATAATGCGTCAATTGACTCGATATCGCTGGGCCGAACACGTCAGAAATTGAGAATGGGATCGTCGAGTCTTCGATGAGGAGTTGCTAGAAAAAAAATTGGTAACGTTAATTTTTATTATTCGAAGCTTACCTGAACTCTGGGGAGTAAAATCCGGAAAAATTGGCGAATCGCATGATCATCGCCGAGTTTTACTCTTTGCAGTAATAAAGTTGAAACGTGGAAATTTTCGCTGTTGATCAGTTCGGCGATGATTCGTTCGAAGATAGGCGTCCTAAAAATAGAGGGTTTTTTGATCCGATTCAGATTTATTACGTGTCGAGCCCGTTTTCGGCCATGTCGACCAGCTCGATTTTGGCAATTTCGAGGGCGAGCCATTGATCAAAATCCAAAGTGGAGAAATCCTGAAAAACGGAAGGTTATTTTGGTTAATGTAAGTCTGTAAGTAAGTTGTAGTTTGTCGTTTACAATCTTTTCCAACTCGAATGTTCCATAGATGCGAATTTACTTAGGATATGCTCAAATAGATGCGATTTTACGTAATTTGAAGACATGAGGCCTCGTCATATCTCGTAGTATACCCTTTTTCTAACCCGAATGGTCCCACAATTTAGGTTTTACGGAGAATTTTCCCCCAAAATCAATCGATTTCCCCTTCTAGAGTCTAAAGTGCAGCTGCTATTTTGTTGGCCTTATTTTTCCGCGGAAAAAAGGTGGTTAGGGGCCACCCCGGGGGTCCATTTGCCCTTCTCGATAAGAATCAGTCCAGAGAAGGGGAAGAGGAAAAAGCGTTCGATAACGGCCAGAACGAGATGCCGGAATTTGGACAGTGGAGGCAGTGGAGGGACCGAGAAAATCGAGAAAATGACCCCATCACCCCCGAAAGGAGAAGCCGGCGTGTTTGGGGCATGGCAATTGTTTGTGTCGCCGAGGAATAGCTTGGCAGGAACTTTGGTCCTCCACGCATCAACGAAACAAACGAAAGATTAGTGGGCTGGCTAGCTTGTACTTCGATTAAAGGGATTGGCAAGGCCCGGCTATGGATTTGCGCACCCGCGACCCGCAACGTGTGCGTACATAGGCTTGACCTTTCGCGTCCCTTTAACGAATTCATTTAGTCACTCACAGTAATGATAGCCCGGCTATGGCCCAATTTGTTGTGCGCAATCTGGATCTGGCCATTTTCAGCGTAGATTCGGACGCAAAATAGCGGGCGGGAGAGACGGGTCGAGTTGTTGGAGATGATCATGTTCGTCATAGATGGTTTTGGGTTAGTTTTATGGCTATTTTCGGTGATTGAACTTTTTAACTAGCTAGCAAAGCACTGCTGATTTTTTTGAACGTTTCGGCGGTTAAAAATACCGAAATTTGGCGTAACAACCGTAAAGAAAGCGATTTTAAGCCGTCGATCGTATAATTTTGAGTTTTCTGTGAATTTCGAAGGTTAACTGTTTCTAATTATTTTTTGAACTTTTAGGTGGCTATTAAAGCTAGTTTTTACGATTCTTTTTGGTATTTCTGATCCTTTTTGCCTTTTTTGACGCTCGAAACACCCTAATTTCGGTATCAAGAACGTAAAAAAGGTATTTCAGCCGATAATTTTGATATTTGAAGAATTTTGACGTCTTTTTAGGGGTTTAGGATCCGCGTTTATCGAATTTCGCTTTAAAAACTAGCTAGAAAGGCTAAAAATTAGCCAATCTAAACCAACCTTCCGACACAGCAACCTCGCATTTTCCACATCCCTGGCCGGCAGATTATTTAGTACGCGGAATACGAGTTCCGGCGGAAGAGTAGAGAATGTTGTTTGAGAACCGGATTGCCATTCCATACTTGATTTTTAGAGCGATTCCTGTAACGGTCAGCTGCTTATCCGATGGAAAGGAGCCACGAAATGAGTGAAGGGGTTTGTGGTGGGCCGTATCACGTGTGTCCCTCGCACACACACGCCTCATTTTATTCGAAAATGACAAAACGGATGGGCAGTGTGTGTGGATGGGGCAATTGGAGGAATGAGGGAACGGCATAAATTGACACCGCGTTCGGGTCATCAGGGTGTATTTTGAGGTTTTAAACGAGCTTTTCGTGGTTCTAGCGTAGTAGAAAAAGCCGAATTCCCTAAAATGGCATACAGTAGGCATTAAAATATGTATTCTAGCGTTTTTTTGTTTTTACGAGACATTAGGGTGGAATTCTCAAATTTGGGATTGTTGTAAATCGTTTTCTAGAGATTTTGGGGTAAATGGAAAGGCAAAAGTTGATAAATTGGCGTACTGTAAGCGTAAAAATCGATTTTTACGCATTTACTGAAATGCAAAAACTTATTTCTATAGTATTTTGCGAAGCCAGTTAGCTAAATTACAATACAGTATGCCTAAAAACGGTTTTTCCTAGGTAGTTTTTTAACGTTTCTTAACTGAATAGATCTTTTTAGTTTACAAAAAAGCTAAAATATCTAAACTGGCATACAGTAGGGGCAACAAGTCAATATAGGGCAATATAATAAGGCCCGAAGTTTCTATAGAAAAAGTACCCTGGATAGGAAAACTACTTCTTATGTTTTTTTTTTGTTGCAGTTAGATAGCTAAACTGTATTACAGTACGGCTGAAACTCCCATTTTTCCCCGGTTTCTGGCTAAAATTGACGGACCGCTATAAATAAAGTAGTTCTAATGAATTTTTAGCGATTTGAAAAGCTTACCTGGCATACAGTAAGCCTAAAAATGACTACAAAGCAATTATTGCAAAAAATATCCAAATTGCCGTTCAGATCAGGAGATTCCGACCCGAACGGAGCGCTCGCCGAATATTTTGGCGAATGTGGTGCAGCTGAAGAAGAGCAGGGACGGCCCCTCTTTTTCTGGGCTGCGTAGGCAGTTTTGATGGAGATAAGGACCGGGCAGAAAAAGATTAGGAAGATTCATCGGATGACCCCTCCAAAGACCAATCTCTCGAAATGGGCCCCGCAAAAAGAGGGTGATCGGATCGGGGGAAACCCCGTTTTTGGAGACGTTGCAGAAATCTGGAGATTTGGGCCTAGAATCGAGGCATTACGCTTTGAAATTCTGGGAATTTCATTTTCTTATTTTTTATCGGTTGAACCGGCTGGCAGAAGAGCTGATGTTAGAAAAAATCGCCAGACACCATGTAATTTTTCGATTTTTGGAGCAAAATTTATGGATTTTATACCTTTGAACGTCCATGTTTGATCAATTACGACATGAAACCCGTGGGGATCTTGCTTTTCTAGTTTTGCCAGTTTTGCCAAGCCAAACTGTCTGTCATACAATCTGATCGTAAAAATAGAACTTCATAACCCGCTGAAATTTTAAGTTTTTGCGGCATACTTCCGGATTTCTGCCACTTGACAGCCCATGTTGGATAGATTACGGTACGAAAAGCAGGCGAATACTTGGTT